CTCAACCAGAGCCTGATTCATGTTATGAGTAGCGGAAACAAAACAGAACTTGTTACAATGGCAGGTTACTTTTACTCATCTAATCCAGCCTCTTTCATAAAGCATCATATCTACAAAACCCCAAAACCTACACCTCTTAGAAGGAACTACCTAGGGAGAAAAGCTTTCTTTCCTTCATGTGAATCTCCAACCCATCTAACCAATGGACTTCCTATTGAATAGGTTTGTGCTGCATGAGGATGCAGCCACAGTTTGCTGTCAATGATCAGCAGTAAGTTTTGCATTTTGCTCTTCTGGGTAGAATAAATTAATGATTACTGATTGTTGGTGTTTTCTCATGAAAAGAAGATTGTTGAAGTAACAATAGAGTGCTGCAGTAGTGCCATCTAATGCACACTTAATTTTCATAGGTATTTTTAGATTCTGTGTGTGGAGATCAGTGGGTGGTTAGTGGCTTAAGTAATGTTCTTTAAAATTCCCAGTATGAACCATGGGGGGGAAAACCCAGATTAGAAATTAAATGCTTCAGCTACAAAAGTACAGCTTGCCTTTTGGGTTTTTTTGGGGGAGTTTTTTGGTATGTGGTGGGGTATTTTTTGGTTTTTTGTTTTGTTTGTTTGGGGTTTTTGTTTGTTTTTTTGTTGTTGTTGTTTTTGTTTTCAGAAATGTTAAAATTTGTTAGCTAGCATGTTAAGAATATTATTTCCCTTTTTCAGTCCAAGTGTACTTGTTGACAAGTGTACCTGTTTCTGGTAGAGCTGATATACCTCAGGGTACCTTCCCTACTGCCAACTAAACTCATGATTTTCATCCTGAAATCTGGAATTCTGCATTTGCCAGGGCTGTTTTCATGGTCCCAAATGATGACCAATTTCCCCAAACCAGACAGCTTTTCAAAGCTTGAAATGGAAAAAGATAGATGTCTTTATATGCTTACAACAATTATTTCTTTTTGGAAGACAGATAATATTTTTAAGGTGGTAACATAATTGATCTTAATTCTTTTGAGCTTAAAGGTTTTGTCCACTTTATTGCCACTTCCAAATATTGCTGAGGTCATCTATTTTAGAAAAAAAAAGCCTTGAAGGTAAATAGTCCATTTTAAGAGGCTTACTTGGAGTTGTTTGTGCTTTGCCTACCCACCATCCACAACTACTGGAAGAACCACTACCCAAAAAGGTGGAATTGTGTTAATGCCAGCAAATCATACTGATAAACAGGTGCCTTGTCTAAATCGTTTTGGAGTTTAGTTCTAATGACAGTACTTTGCCCTTTTTTAGAGATAATTGTATTTCTGCTGCCAAGACTTCAGAGATGGGCCACTCTGAAATCCCTTTCTGTGTTGTTTTCTAGTTTAAAGATCAAACTCATGCTTGGCTTTTCCAGTGCACCTGTCCCATGGTGAGGCAGACCTTCTTTCTCCCTGTGGTTTGGGAAAGAGAATATGTGTAGAGGAAAGAGCCCCATCCACCTTCTTTACATCCCATTACATCTGAGACCAGGGAATTTTCAGATCCACACAAGGGACAGGGTGGCCTCTTTCATGAATGGACCACGATGGAATGTTTTCATTTCCAATGGGCTTTAAGCCAAGTAAATATTAGCCGATCCAAACCAGTTTTGAAATTAAATTATTCTTATTTGTTGGAGCATTCCAGAGAATGGCTTTGATCTGTCTGTACTTTGACCAAAGGGATATTGGCAGGCTGGCCTCCCATTTCTAGCCATTTGGGATGAAAGAAGGGTTATAATAACCACCTTGTGTGGCAGTGATCCTGAACAGATGACATTTTTTGGACAATATTAAATGAATAAAGATAAACATACTTCAATTAAAATGTTTTTGGAGGCTGAATGCAATAGGGCTGTTGAAAAGTCTTCTATGTGGGTTGGAGGAATTTGGCTGCATTTGTAACTGATTTTCTTTAAGTCCAAAAATCTTGGAAAGAGAGGGGTTTGTTCTGTGCATTATTTCCTTTCCAAATAAATACATTGTTTGCATAACTTAAAAATCAAATTAAAATTGGCAGTGAACAATGAAATTGTCAGTAACTGGGAGGTAGAGAGGTGTGTTGAGGAAGGAGAGTTTTTTGCTTCTGGGATCACATCAGCACAGTGACTAAGTTAGCTCAGGTGATACCTGCAGGGAGACAACTTAAAAGTTAAAGTAAAAAATCCAATAAATAAGATGCTCAGTTTTCCACAGTCTTGGCCGAAGGATCCTCCAGAAGAGATGGGAGCAGGGTGGTGGACACCTTCCCACCATGAAGTTCTGCTTAGACACAGCTGAAGAACCTTTTAAATTGATACCAGCTGATGATAATTTGTGGTCCCCCTAGACTTAAACAATGACTGAAATGAACTGAATTATAATTGGAGTGGAACAAGTGGGTTGGAAAGATCTGCTGGAGGTCACTGGTCTGACCACCTTCCACCTTCAAAATTAGGTCAGGTATCTAAGTTTGTTCAGCTATATGTTTAAGTTCCAGCTTAGATTTCAGGTTATGTGGAACCTCTGGTGTTGAGGTTTCTTACATTTATTTACTAGGTTTTCTGTGAATAACTAAATATACAAATTGTCATTTGCAATGTTGATGCAAATTAAATTGCTTTTCCTAGAAATGTGAGTAGTTTGCATGGATAGACAGGTGCCTTCTCACAAAAACTCTGTGTCAATTTGCTTTGATTTCACAAAAATTAGACTAGCTGTACTTCTGAGTTAAATAAAAGAAAAATCTCTTTTAACAGATACTATGTTGAACACTCAGTGCTGTTGGTGCATGTTCTGAAGTGTCACCTGCATTTTAAATCTGTTTAAGTACTTTGTGTGTTCATGCCTTAAGGGAGAAATGGTTTGAACAAAGACACATATAAAAAAACAAAGCACAAAGGGTTTGTGGGTTAAAACTCAAGCTTTTGTTTTTTTTGAACATCAGCTCAAATCTGGATCCATTTGCTTGAAATGGAATATTTAGTTTTCAGCTCAGCATGTGAACTGGTCATGCTTGAATTTAAAGCTTGATTTATTTCTTTTTGCACCTGTTTTTATTTTAACACTGACTCTATACAAGATAGACTTTTGCTACATGGTTCCTTCCTCCCCAGCTGGAAGTCTGGTCTGATATTATCGCGTGAGACCTTCCTAAAATTTACATTTGTAACTCTGCAACCTCTGACAATGCAAAATACAGTCACTGCTCCATTAGGTTGTGGAGGCTTATTTGAATTTATGGTTTTCTTTCCTGTGTCACAGCACTGACCCACATATTTGATTTTGAGACCTGGTCGTGATTTGGCAAAATCTTGTTTGTATAAAACAAGGTGCAGTCCTGCCCGTGGCAAGAGGTGCCAGATGGGCTGGATCAGGGGAGAAATGGACATGAATTTGGAGGAGGAAACGTGAAAGGAGCTGAGGGAAAGGAGAAGGAGACGTGAGGCAGAGCATGGGAAGCGATGGACAGGAGGGCCTGGAAGTCTGGGAATTGTCTACAGCAGTTGTATCTGACAAAGAGAAGGGATGAAACCTCTTAAGGGGGAGGTTTTAAAGGAAATGACCTGTGTATTCTCTTGAATATGCAAATCAGAATTACATAATCTGCAATAACAATAATAATAATAAATCTTTTCCAGATTTGCAGCTGTAACCATATGCTCAGTGGGATGGTGGCAGAGCTGGCAGCCACAGCTGCTCTGTAAAACTGGGGCACCCACCTGGTTCTGATCTCCATAGACAGGGGACAGAAGGTCACATCACAGACTGTTGTTCTCAGTGTCTTGTAGTTTATATAATTTTTTCAGGCTAATAAACAAAGTATGGGGAGACCCCAGAGGCATTTAAAAGATGTGTAGATGTGGCACTTGGGGACGTGGTTTAGTGATGGCTTGACAGTGCTGGGTCAACCTGATGATCTTGGAGGTCTTTTCCTACCTAAATGAGTCGATTACGATTTTTTCATCAAATGAAAACATTTCACTTACTTCTGCAGTAACTGTAAGCCATCCTCTTTCCTTGCTTTTCCTTCCCCATGGAATACTGAAATTGGTTCATATTCCCATGCACACGTAGGAATTTCAGGTGTATTTACTTAATTAACCCTTTGCTGGGTTGTGATAACTGTGTGTGCCCTTTATAAATATAATTTTCCCTGAGAGCAAAGATGGGCTAAATGATAAAATATGCTGAGATACTGAACTAAATCCTCCATAATACTAAGCAGGAGAGTTTAACCAACAGATCATGAGAAGTTTTTTCTCAAGGCTTGAAGAACTGCTGTATTTGCTGACACACAGAACTTTTTACCAAGGCATGGGCTTATAGGATGAGTGAGAAGAGCCACCACTGTCTGTGGCACCACAGTTAGTGTTTCTTTGTAAGGAAGGTGGAAAAAAAAATCTCAGTTGATACGAAACTTTAGTACCTTTGTGTATTTCTGGATTGTGGATGAGAGATGTGTTCAGTGATCAGGTTGGATCTGTGGTTGCAGTGCTAGCTTGGACAGGGGAAATTGAGTGCTCAATCAAGAATTAGGGCATTTTCTCAAATTTCTGAGGGCAGAGGCAATTTTGGCCACTATCTCACTTCTGTTATGTATGTCTATATTCTGATATATATTTTATAAATATATATACATATATATAGTGTTATATATGTCTATATATATGTGTGTATGTGTGTGTACAAAAACCCCTGTGTGGGGTGTGCACATCTTTGTCAGACTTGGTGTGATTTTGTGATTTTACCATATTAGGTTGTTATTTTAAAAATACCCTAGATATTTCTGCTTGTCTCTTCCTAGAGTTGCAGTCAATGTGTTTCCTAGATGGTGACTAGCTTTGATACTGAGGTTGATTTGGATATCTGAAAATTAGAATGGGCACTGAGTCCTATGAAAGGAGAGTATGAATGGAGAGTGTGAACCTTGTAGGAAGAGTAATTTCATTTTAGATTATGCAGTTCTTGGTCATGTAAACTTAATCTTGTTTCTTGTCCTTTTTCCTAGGGTGACTCTGTTATTACAGTGCAGCTGACTGAGGAAGATAAAGTTGAAGATGATGTAGTTTTTTATTTGGTCTTCACTGGATCAACTGTCCAACACTGCACAAGCACGAGAAAGATTAATCCTGGGAGTCTGGAGACAATTTCTCCTGGTAAACAATTGCCTTTCTTTGCATATCAGTGTATCAGTCTGTGAAATTTGGTTACTACAAGTGGACTGGAATGTAATGCTCTTTGCTTGGTTGACTTTATCCTCATTTACACATTCACAAGGAATAGAACGCATGATTTGGATGACTGCTTTTGCCTTTTAAAAACCTCTTACTTGATTTCACTAGAATTATATGACTTTGAGATTGCAATTATTTAATATGTAACTATGAGATGCTGTTGTAGAAAACTCACAGTTACACATACACATAGTAAAAGGCTTTTAAATGCAGCAAAGATGGTAGAAGATATATTTGTAAAGCTTGCTGTTTCCCAAATGGTGGGCAGCCCAGTAAGTCTTAGCTACACTCATCATGTGCTTGACTCACTGAGGCTCATTGCTGCCTTCCTGGTGAAATACAACAGTTTCCCCTAAATCCTGTTCAGCTCAGAGCTCACAGAGCATTTCAGAAGCTCTTGCAGTACAGGGGATGTGCTGCTCAGTGCCATCTCTCCATGGCTGGTGCAGATGAGGTAGGTTTCCACATGAAAGCCCACCTCTGTTTTTATCCTTTGTGCCACCAACAAAACAAAACCAATCAGCATTTCCCTTTGGTGACTTCAGGACCGTGGGAATGAGCGTGTTCCAGGCTGCAGTCCTCACCATTAACCTTTCACTCTGACTTGTTGCTATGCAGCACACTGCTACCAGTGTGAGAAAAACGCCTGACATTTTCACTGCACACAGTGTAACTCAGGCCATCAAGTGTTTTTCTTGGGTTTGTCTTTTCATCTACCTCCTGAGTATTGTTTTGTGAGAGGTGCACGTGGAGTAAAATTTGGAGTTGTTTTCTCTTGGGAATGAGTAGCTAAAAGTTGGCCACTCAGTTTTTTTTCATTTCCTCCTCTTTTTGTGCTGTTCATGTTGTTCAGTTGGCTTGGGAAGAGAAGCCTTTTTATGGCTACTGATGACTGGAGCCCCGTGCAATCAATTAGATTAGTGCTTATTTTCTCCCAGAAGAGCAAGAAGGGGGTGACTCCTTCCCTGCTTTTGTGTGGTGGGCGTGGGGCTCTGCCAGCCCTGCTCAAAATGACTTCACCTCTCCCTCGGGGCTGTGGCTGCTGTGCCAGGAAAGGAACTGAAAAGCTCCAGTGTTCCCTGCAGCCCATGTGGGAGCCAGGCTGCTGGATGGGATTTCCAGGCAGGAACGACTCTTTCCCATCAGTGCTGCCCTTGAGGAGTGCTGGATGTGCCCAGGGAGGTGGCTGCCAGGTGGGACCAGGGTGATGCTCTGGGCACTGCCTGTCCTGCCAGCCCCTGATACAACTGAGTCACTGGGAGGGCTCCCTGCAGCTCCTTTTGGTGCTGGTAGTGGGAAATCTGACACTGTTTATGATTCAAAAGGAAAAGAGGGAATTTCTCTCAATTGTTCCTTTTGCAATAATGGATTGTTTTGTTGGTGGGGTTTTTTTTACTCAGTGTAGTCATGATCTTGTGAGGTGTGAAATTGGACTGGGATGGGTGCTGTCCCAAACTACAGCTTGTTTCAGACAGAGTTTTAGGGAACCTTTCATAGAGGTAATCTCATTCCTGCACTGTCCTGGGCTGGGATGCAAGGAAGGGTGATATCTCAGATGTGGATAGCACCCTCATTTGTGCTTATACCTCATTTTGGTGAGACTGTCTAAGAAAAAAAAAAACTTCAGTGATGAAGAGATTGTTGGGGAAAGGCAAAGCAAGAAATGGGAATAGCCTGATTTTTTTCATCCCCTCTGCTGACCTGATTTTTTTCATCCCCTCTGACCCATGCATTTGTCCAGCGTTGTTTCAGCAGTGATTACACTGATTTCAGTGGAAGTATGACTTACTTCAGTGCAGCTCTTCCTCCTCCTCCTCCTTCCTGGACGCACAGTGAATCTGTAATCATGTGTTTACACTCTGTGTGTTCCCCAGTTGCCTTGGCAATGGCTGTGGTGACTCAGAGCGTTATTTGACCTCGGAGGGATTAGCCATGAACAGCACACAGTGTGTGTGAGACCAGCCCTTGTTCAAACACCCAGCCCTGGGCACTTGGCAAGTGTTCTGCAAGGAAAGTCCTGCAAACAGTTTTTTGCCAAAATCTCACCTTTTACTTCCAGCTCTGAGCATCTTTCGTTTGTTGCTGTGATGCAAGGAGTGTTGCACATCCCTGTGAGCACAGCAGCTCCTGGGGACAGCTCAGGTGCACTGTAAGGAAGGGCTGATTCACTCAGGAGCCTCTCTGCCTTCCTTGAACCTCCTCTGCATCCCTTCTGGACTCCAAGGCTCTTCCCTCATTCTTGCCCCACATCCTCAAAATTTCATCTGGTCCCCAGGAGACTTCAGATGAAATCCATCAGTAGCTGGGGTGAAAGGGGTGATGTAATTCTGTTCAAGCTTGAAAACAAGCCCGCATTTGTAATTTTTGTTTCTTGAGATTTTCAGTGGGTTTCTTGATGTACAGAAGCGTAAAAGACAGAGAAATTATTTCATTACGTTTGCTGCCAAAATTAATCAGAATGTTTTAGAAAAGCTTTCAAATAAAATCACATTTGAAAAGAAATCATAACAACATAAAGTTGTTTTAGGTGAAAAATCAGAGAAAATGGAATGGAAATATAAGCTGTCAAAATACCCCATAAATTTTCATTGTATGTGAAAATTCTCTATATCCTGAAAGACTTTACCTAAATAAAACCTTATCACTGCAGAATTAAATGACTCCTGCATCTTATATAATTACTGGAGCAATCTGCTTCTTTCCTATGCTTTTTTTATCATCAGCCTTAAACACTGAATATATATATAGTCCATAATACTGTTCAAATGTGCGCTTTTATTTCTGTACAGAGTAAAAGAGAGGACTTCTGATTGTAATTTTATGGTAGCAGCTTTATTTTACCTGAAGGTGTGGATAAATACAGATTAATCACTTCTTCAAATTACAGAATACTTACTTGTATTTATGCTCTTGGTCTGAAGAATGAAATGGATTATTTATCCTGCTCTGCTCTTGGCTGTGTTAATTTAAGGAAGGTAATTTCCCCTTGTAAGAAACAGATCCTCATCTGAGCTGATCAGTCATAACTTGAAGTGTCAAAATTAGCTACTGAGATTCAAGAATTAGCCAGGAGATGATGTTTTGTGTGCTTTCAGTACCTCTTCTGCCAGGGTAAGGTTACATCATCCAAGCAAGCTTTTGTTTGTCTCTGTGAAAAGCTACCAAAACCTCATTTAACTGTTGGCTTTACTGTCACTGTTACAGTTCTTCTATTTCTAATTAATCTGGTTGAAATTCTCCCTCTTGGAAGCAGTTTTCCCCAGTACCAGAGGCACTGTGTAGCACAATTTCAAGCATTGTTGTATCAGGCACAGCATTAAGGTGGCAGGTGGAGGTGTACTGCTACAGTGGGGATCTCAGTGCAAAATCTTGGTCTCTGGAGTTTGGGTGTTAAGAAAGCATCAAAAGCCTGAGCAGGAAGGAAGTAGAGACATGATCTCTACTGAGACGTGACCGTCTCTGCTGCTGTGGTTTGCTGTTGTTGGCTGCTGAATTTGTACTCTTGGGGATGGATATGTCCTCTTAGGTCACAGATGCTCAGCCTCCTGGTGTTGGTCATTAACTGAGCATTTCAGCAAGCCCTTATTCCTATAGCAGCTGAGATTGCCATAATCTCAATGCATTTTTTTCTTTCTACCATCTCTGCAGGATAAGGAGGGTAACTGAGGCCAAGCAGATTGCATGTGGTACTGAAGGAAATCTGTGCAAAGCAGGGAAGTGAAACATTCACTGCAAGACAGCAGCCTCATCTCTTGTGTCTCTGCTAGTGCAGCTTTTTTCCCCACTGGGAAAAAACCCAACCCAATAATAAAAATCCTCAAATCATGATCTGGCAAACAAACCAGCAGAAGAAGGAATGACCTCATCACTGTCCACACAAGTCAAAAGTCCCAACCACAGCTCGCCGTGGCCAGCGGAGGCCTCTGAGCATCAGGAAACTCTTGGGGAGATCTGGGGAAATTTTCTTGCAGGAGCTGCTGTGCTGGGAGCTCCAGTATTTGTGTGGTGCATTTATTGCTAAAGTTTGCATGCCATCCCCATAGCAGCTGTATGGTTGGACATGTATTGTGCTTTGCATTTAACCACTGGTGGTCTGGAAAGTGTGGGAGACATGGGGGAAATTGAAATGAAATTTCAAACAGGGAGAGACAGCCCAGAAATCCAGAGCTGCAGCAGCTCCTGATCAAATAAGTGAAGGGTAAGAAACACCCTGTCTGTGAGCCAGGTCACCAAAACAAGAAGTATATTTTGTGAGATGTAATTGCCTTGGTGAGTACTGTTGCAATGTGTTGTATCACTCTGAGCTCTGATAATACAAAAATCACTTTTGTCGTGTTTGTTGAACTCAAAAGGTGAAGGATTCTTGTGGGAGTTTCAAAGGGGAGGAGAATCAAAACTGGAAGTAGAAAAAGGGTCTGAGAGACTGTCTGTCTGCTGGTAGCTGCCTGCCAGCAGTTTCCACAGGGCTGACACATTCCCGTTGACTCACTCTCAGCTTTCTCTCCATCCTTAAGCTAAGGCAGAGAAGCAGCTTCAGTCTTTAACTTGTTCTTAATTCCACAGCTCCCAGAGTTGTTATTTTTTTGGGTTTTTTTTCTCCTTGCTTTCTTTCTGCTAGTTAAAAGGATACATGAAAATTAATTTCACTTAGCTTGGAAATACCTTCATTTCAAACTTTTCTTTTACTGTGAAATCCTTTACATATGGTGATGCTTTATTCATTTCTACCACAGACTGTGTTTTCCCCTAAGAAACAACTCTTCATAGAAAAAGCTGTATTTCATGAATTACAATCTTTGTACTGGTAGACCAGAAGGGTAAACAAGTTGCATAACAAATGGCCACTTGACAATACCAGTTGTGGATTTGAAAATACTCTTAATTATGAAACAAAAAAACCCCTTAAAATAGACTAAAACAGC